TAAGTAACATGCTAGTTTTTGAACAAAAATTTTTACGTGATATAAAGTAAAGGGGGCAATATTTAACTAACACACTAGGTTTTGGACAAATATTTTTCCACGATATAAAGCAAAGGGAAGAGTATTTAAGGTAGTTGGAAGTTGCAATCCCAAAGTCCAAATTTAAAAATCGTTATTTCTTTCCTCTACTGTCTTCAATAATCTCCGTTTTAAGTAAACCACTGTAATTATATTGTAGTTATAAGTACCATATTGCATGCAAATAAAAAAAAAGTTTTTTGCAAGCTGTCAAGTAGCTGCTAATCAATAAGCGCACACGCAAACGCAAAGATATATTTCTTCTATTGCGTTAACACACCCACGCACTGTTTTATTCAAAACATTCCACTAACATAAACATATGTCCATATATAATGTGTAGTCTTACGCACACACATGTTGAACAAAAGAAAACAAAAACGTTATGCACATGAGATGGAACATTTCATTGGCAACATATTTGCAACATATTTGCATTCACCATCTTATGTATATGAAGGGGGCATATTTGCGAATAATAGACCCTGGATATTGTAATTCAATTAGGCTTCTCTGATAGGTTTCAACATTTTCAAAGACATATCTACAATCTGCAGTTACATAATGTCCGTGAAAATGGCTATAACTCAATTTGAAGATGGTATTCTTTCACTTACAAGAGTAAGCTAGTAAAAGAAATGAAGCGTGAGAATGCATGTTTTAAAATATTTAAATATGCATGCAATTTATTCAAGCACTTTGTACCGGCTACCGAAGCAAGTGTAATGCAAAAGAAAGACAAATCTGAAAAGAACGTCACAAGATGGCGCCATAATAGGGGGAAAAAAAAAGGAAAAACAAATTTCTTGTATAGTTTTTTTTTTTCTTTCAACTCATTCGACACAAAATGCGTCACAAGTTTCTTTTTCATTTGCCACAAATACGAGTTTCTTTGTTAAGCGCGATCATAATTTTTGTATAGATTGCAGCTTGCAGCAGCGACTTGGGATGTTATATTATTATTAAAGTAAACTAATCAGTTGATGAGCACGTAAATAATTGTATGTATGTATGTATGTATGTATGTATGTATGTATGTATGTATGTATGTACGTAAGATGTATGACAAGAGCCACCATTTAAAACGAAGCGAATGTTAATTATTATTGAAATTGAATTTTACCCCACACATACAGGAGCACACACACACACACACACGCGCGCGCATACACTCATCAGCATTGTTTGTAGTCATTATTGGAACAACGAAACGAAAGCTACTACAATCAATTTATAGAAAAAAATTAAGAAAATAGAAATTTGTATGTAAGCTGAGAAAAGCAATAAACAGACAGACACACATACAGTGTTACATTATAAGTACGTATATAATAATGAAAGTTCATGAAATGAATAATAATTAAACTTTATTTATTTATTTATTTTTTTTTTACTTTTTTTTTTTTTTTTTTTAAAGCGATCACATGGTATCTATCGGTTAGTGTTATTTACAAATTCTTCACAAATCATGCACTTTAGGTGCTAGATATTCCGTATATGTAGGTATGAGCATAAAATATCAGTGCAATGACATTTTTATGGGAAAAATATTTAATGACATTGATTTTATGATAGGTACACACACACACACATACATACACATATGCATATGCATATACACACACATATGTAGATAAGTGTATGTACATATATTATATTTATATGAGCGTTTGCATGGGAGAGATGAAGAGTTCATGTAAATACTTTCCAGTTGCAGTAATGATAAGAGACGCGTGCGTTTGTTTCACACACAATTGTTAATTCATTTAAATAGTCGACATTGTTTAAACCAGACTTGCTGCAATTTACAATTACATTAAAATATTACTCATGCCTGCATATGTATACCAATCAACTAAATGGGAATGTATTGTACACAGCTATTAAGTGATCGCCAATTTTAATGATCCGTGAGACTATTTTCATTTTGATTATTTTTACTGTAAAAGAGAAAAGTGGGAGCCCATAACTAATCAATTGCAGTAAAAGTTGCTTATTCGCGAGAGATACGTTCCACAAAAATGCCGCGAATACAGAAACCGTGAATGGGATTATAGGGGATACGTTCCTAGATGAAAAAATAAAAAAAAAATCAATTTAATTGAATGTGAGAACAGGCATTTAGTTCTTCCCTCTTTAGGCAATTTGTTATTTGGGGAAATTACTTAGCTGAAATGAACTAGATTTGGGATTTTCGCAACATTAGCTTATTCACTGAGTGATAAGTTTCCTTTCGTTCTGTTTGTTTACATTCTCCAAAATCGCGAATAAAGAAATTTATAGCCGCGAAAATATGGGAATTGGTCGCATTTTTTTCATCCGCGAATAAGGAACTTTCACTGTATACTCATTTTGTTTTTTTTTTTTTTCTCGTAATTCAAAAGAAAGCTTCAGTTACCCTATAAAATATATATATATATTCTTGGTCAGGGTAAAATTCTAAATTGAATAAGCCATGACAGGACAGACCCTCTGTATGGTGTGTGTTGTTGACATTCGAATTGGCCAGAACAGAAGCACGCAGTGGGGCGTGAACTGAACGCAATTCAATTTCAGAAATTGTAAAGGTTAGAAGGCTGAAATTTTCCACATTTACCTTATGAAACACTCTACTTTGCAAAAGTGGAAAAAATCGGCTAAATACCCACACAAAGTCACAAATGATTAAATCTTCTTTTTTTCCACTTTTTTGAGTATTTGTGCTTCTTAGTTATAAGGTATTGTAATAAAGTTTGATATTGTATGATGTGTTTAGATTATCTGTTTACGGAGAGGATTCCCTATGAATCCTTCCCAAAGTGTTAATGAATGTAGTTTAGCAGTTTAGCCCTAAGCTGCTCGGCTGCAGTACGCCAAGTCTTTCCGTCTTTTATAATGCCAAAGTGTCTCGGCGTAAGACGGTCACTAATTTTAATAGTTCAGGCGGATTTGAACGCCTAGTGCTATTAGCGAGTAAAACGCTTGGTTGAGTTGCTTTATGAGAACTGCTTTTCTTTATTTTCTTAGGCACTATTTATACTAAATTTTTACACTAAATTATTCTTATCTTATTCTAAACAGGATTGTAATTGCTTACTAAATTATCCTTATAACACACTAGATTATTCTTATATAAACAGAATTATCACTGTTTACATGCGAAGTGAAGTGTGACATTTTATTTTTTCAAAAGGGTTATGCTGAAGTGGCATAATTTTGTCACACTTCAAGTGGATGCATACGATAGTATGCGATCACACTACAGTATACAAAACTAGACGGAATATTTTAAACTATTTTATACAAGATATAATATCTACCTAAGAATGTGTCAATTCTGTGAATGCATCAAATTTGCGATCTGATAGATTAATTTTTTCTTAATAATACCAGCAATGTGGGTATCAGATAAAAGGACTTGAAGAGTAGAATGCGAAAAGCATAGTGACGGGTATGCGAGATTCGGCCTCCGGCGAATATAACTTATATACGTGTTTTTATTTCATTATTCATTATTCATTATCATCAAGGGCCACCTTCCTGGAAATTCTCAAATACCGCTCTTATAGAAACCCAGAATTCGTAAAGCAAAACATGCAAAATAGGATGCTTCCTGGACAGAAGGATAAAAAGCCTTAAATTAATTCTAGCGCTTAATATTACTCTTCGATTTACAAAGTTTACAGAGTTTGCTTGGAAAAATTTATGTTATCATAAAATATCCATATTTCATCTCCGATAACAATTCTGCCAAGAAACGGAAATCTGGATAGGAACGAAGCGTAAATATTCAAGTGAAGAATATTCCTTTGGTGATGCGGTAACCATATTCCTTATGGCCTTCAAGCCTTCCCATTCTCGTTTAAGTGTCTGCGTATAGACCACCAAGTGGATTCAAAGCTTCTCGCTAGTTCTTATTGACTCGATCTAGTGGATCAGCTTTCTCTAGAGATTTTCGAAAGACGTTACCAAACTCAACTAATCGTCCTGCCAGAGAGGTTTTATAATCACCAGCAGCATAAATCTTCTTCAACTTACGTTGACATTTAGTGACCTTCAATAACTTTCCAGAAATATTGCAAGTTTTCTTTGTTGTTGCGATTCCATTACATCCCACATAAAAAAAAATTAAAGTAAACAGCGACAGAGTCCGCCATTTTACAACAGAATTCTAAAAACCAAAACAAAAATCTAGTAAGAAAATTATAGCCGACCATTGCATACCCTACTATTATGATAAAATTTTCATCGTGAAGCACTGAAAATTGGTCCGATCCGAACCATTTTAAACCCATACCAAATCCTATCAAAATACCTCAAAAATTTAGAAGAGCAGACATCGGACAGACAGGCTAACAGACAGGCTTAGATCAATTCAGATGATTATGATTCTGAATCGATCGGTATAATAAAAGATGGGTCTATCATAAGCCCTTAAGCGTGTTACATACGATCGCATTAACTTAATGCACCCTGTATAGGGTGTAATTAATCTCACCAATGAGTTTATAAACATATAAACAAATACGCATTAATAAGGGCAAATTATATTTCGAATTAAAATAAGTAAGAAAATTATATTGGGTGGCGACCTTGAGAGATTAGAAAAAAAAAGGAAAAACACTAAATTCCCACACTCTACAACATTACATGGGAGTGGCCCTATTTTTGTACTGGTCTACCCCCGAAGAGTATAAAGGCAAATTTTTATCGTTCTCTCCGTTATGGTTTATACGTGAAAACCAAAAAAAACTGAATTGTTTTTGTATTTTTGAAGATAGTGACAGTTGTCAGTTTCCATCATATTATAGGTGTTCTCTTCGATCGATTTGTCCCATTTTCAAGGCAATTTTTGATTTTTGCGAGTCGAAAACAAGTTTAGTATAGACGTTGCATACACAGACGGCAGGACGGACATGCTTAAAAATATACTAAATATACTTTATGGATACAAGCGCTTTGACGTAATGAATATATTCCTCCGAGCAACAGCTCTAACATTATTTGCATGTGTGTACATTCACATGGGGAAAAAAATTAGGTTCACATTAATTTTTCATTGCGTTACAAGTTATGAATTCAATTTTCTCACCAGATCCCTAAAGTTTGGCGACAGCTGTTTTCTACTGTATACTAATAAGAGAAGCTAAATGGTCATCGAATGCGCATTTACACCCAAGTACGTTCATTTGGATGGGCTTACACACACACACACATTTACACCAACACATATAGATAGATATGATTCATCTTCAGTTCCAAGTAAACAATAAATACCAAATAAAATAGCATATAAAACGGAGACAACTCAATTTAGTTGATTATATATTTCGAAGACCAGGAGGACGGGGTAGGGACAACCAAGGTAGCGGCATTATTAAAAGTTGGAAATTTTTTTTTTATTTTTATTTTTTTATTTTTTTTTATTACTTTTGTGAGAGATTTTCGTTTGCAATTTCAAAAATTTCCAAACATTTTATCGTGAGCTCATATAAGACATGTTTATGTACGTGCATGTCGTCTACAGGAACGTAAAATTGTGCATGAACTTCCGCTTTGTTGGCAATTGGCAGATGCTTGGCGTGTATACATTCGTATATAAAAAACTCAAATAGTAAGTAAGTGCACGTTGTTTACGATCTCATTTTGCTCCCTTTTTTTCTTTTTTTTGCTTTCTCACTTTCTCTCGTTGTGTCTCTACTCTATATTACTCTATTTCAGTGTAGTAAAATAATTGAGAATTGATCGTTTATTATGAAGGAGAAACCTTAAGTGCTTTTAATGAATGATAAAGAAATTATGTAATAAGAAAAAATCGATGAATATTACGCATATATGTACAAACACACACACACACGCACGCAAAGGCCCAGCCGGAGTCCCGAACAAGTCCTTAAAGGCAGCGATACGAAGGAGGCCAGAAGTCTTCATGACGATGCTGCATAGGTGTCTGGAAGAAAGGACATTCCCAGATGAATGGAAGGTTCAAAGGTTGAACCTTATTTCGAAGGCCAATAACCCACTGAACCAGTCATCGTCAAACCGTCCCGTCTGCCTTTTGGACACAATGGTCAAGGTATTGGAGGGGGCCGTATTGGAACGCTTGCTAGTTGTGATCGAAGAAAGACGTGCTCTCTCGCATAACCAGTATGGATTCAGAATAGCGCTCGGTCTACGATCGATCCCATAAACCATTTCGTGGCTCTGGCCTCTCAGACGCTATAGCCGGAGACCGATGGAGGGGCGGTGGTAAAAAGTACTGCGCCGTCGTCACGCTAGACGTGAAAAAAAGATAAATTTTCAAGGACTGAGGTCATTGCTATTTCTTATTTTTTCAAGTTCATAAAAATTGACTACGCAAGTAACAGAGTATGTTGAAGAGCTTGCTGTGTTTTAATTTTCTCTAAATTTCTTGTCTGAATTTTGTGGTTTACTGTGGTTTCTTGTTTATACGAAAAAATTAAAAAAAAAAGAACATTATATTAATATTTAGACTTTTCTGCTATACAAGGGATCAATTTTCGTGAAAATTCCTATCAGATAGGATTTTTTTATTTTAAATTGATGATGAAATTTATGATATAAAT